AGTGTTCATATGACATTACCACCATGGTGTTCTTTTGGACAACATACTCTCAGGGTTAGGATCATGACAATTATCTTTAAGAGTTCGGAGTATATTAACACTCAACCTACACATTAGTTCAAAACTGCACAATGTTCTCTTTTCTTCTTCCCAAGGACAAGAAAAAAGTGAAATCACTTCAGGAATTTTATCATAATAAATTATTCAATTTTCTAAAACATAAAAGGGAAAGAAATATAATTCAAATCAAAGATTACTTTCCTTTTTCAGTAATCTTGAAGAAAGCCTATACAGCTTTGATATTTTTCATTCCTGGCTTAATGATAAATTTTATATCATATAATGAAAACTTAATAGTTCAAGCATCCATGGTGTTTTGGCTTTTAATTGAAATTACTTTGTGATCTTTTAGGAAATCCATTCCATTATGAGGAAATTCTCTATGATACAGCAATTGTACATGATAAGAATTACTGTATGAACCTATATAATACAGTAAATAGAAAACAGCTGTATCTAGAGCTTTCATATCTCACCTTAATGCTATGCATCCCGAGACAAGCTCAAAGTGAGGAGATCACAAGTTCCACTGACTGCAACCAAGGCTCAGAGTGTCATTACCCCTGGAAGGATAACAGCTTTTACCCAGCTGCCCAGTCAGAGCTGACATTCTCATTTTCCTATACAGTCCTTCCTTGCCATGATACCTTATTCTTTTCTAAATGTCTTCTATAGATTAGGAAAAAAAATGAAACTGATGCTAGTTGTAGCTCTGTTAAAGCTAGGAAAACAAAAGTATTAAGTTTAAAAGTACACGTTTGAGGGCTGAGAAGGTGGCTCAGTGGTAGAGCACTTGCCTTGCATGCTTGAGGCCCTGGGTTCAATTCCTCAGCACCATATATGCAGGAAAAAAAAACCTGGAAGTGGCTCTGTGGCTCAAGTGGTAGAGCGCTAGCCTTGAGCTGAAGAGCTGAGGGACAGCGCCCAGGCCCAGAGTTCAGACCCACAACCGGACCCCAAGAAAAAAAAAAAAAGTACATGTTAGGCAAAGTTCAACATAGTTAAGGACAAAGACCCAGAAAGAAAAATGAAGGCAATTTTGACAAAGGGACTAGTCAGAGACCCTTGCAAAATGGTCCTTTTTCTTTCCTTCCTTTTTCCTATTTGTCTTTCCTCTTAATCTGGGCAATTTTTATTTTTCTGCTTATAAGGAAGAAAAAAAGAAAACCCAGGAGTCTTGTCATGTTGGCTCTTACAAACATGTACACAGCTTAACAATATCTGAATCATGGTGAGATAGAATAGGTTTAAAATGGACTGATATTTGATGAAACAGGTGAACCATACTCTGTCAGAAAGCAAGTACCAAAAATATGTAAACTGAACCTTAAAGCTTGGGTTTACTGTTATTCATTGTTACATTTGGATCTTTGTAATATGAAAGTTCAGTGAATCAAGAACCATTTAATAGCAAAGGGCTCCCTGAATCTGAACTACCACTGCTCAGCTAAAGAATTCCTATTGTCTTTGTGAGTTACAGGCTGAGTCCTTCCATCAACAAGTGCAAAAATCACAATTTATACTTCTTAAATGGTAATATACAGTCTCAGATTATTCATGGGAATAATAACTCTTGGTTATCATAACCCTCCAGATGTCTGGGCATGTCATGCAAAAGGAAAAGAACTATCATTTTAAACTCCAAAACCTAAAGTTATTTCAGTAAAACAGAGCTAAAATAAATCTGAATTATTTTAAAAGATTTTTTGAGAGAGCAACTAACTACAATAGAATTTCCCCCCTTTTTAGTTCCAAGAGCTTAAATGAAACATTCATGCATTAAATTCAAAGTCTGACTGTCAAATCACTTCACTTTAATAAAAATTTGAATTACCTGCCTTAGGGCATTATTAAATATCAAATAAAAAGCACACATCCATAAGTCTGATTTCCCAATATAATTTTTATGTAGAACTATAACTAGATTTGTATTACATATTTCAGGATAAAAGGATAAAAATATATTCATAAAAGGATGAAATCAGAATTGGAGTTGCCTTAAAAAGAATTCTTGTTCCATTCTCAGCAATTTGTGGAGAAGTAATTTTCTAAGTATATGTAATCTCAGCCACTAATATCGAATATAAACCCTCTTTCTTTTACATATAACTAAATTGTAATTAATTAAAAACCTTTGAAAGAGTAAATACTGTTCTTTGATGATATAATGAAGTAAATATCTAAGATAATCGCAGAGGTGCTAATCTCTCACTTACTTGCTCACACACACACACACACACACACACACACACACACACACACACACAGAATTATAACAGTGATGAGTATTTTAGAATTAGAAGCAACTCTGATCTAGGACTAGATATGAAAATAACACTCATAGTAACAACCTCATTTCATTTCAAGTGTCATTTATAGTTAATACCAGTCAAAGAGAAAATACTATCCCCAGACTTGAGAAACTGGCCAGTTCAAGTTCATTACCTCCTGATATTACACTGTTACTCTCTTACGGGGCCTGTTCTGTAGGCTCCCCTTCCTTCTTCCCTCTTCTCCCATTCCCACCTGCTCTTATCCTCCTGAATACTGCTCCATTCCTCATTATAAAACAATATACAAGGGGCTGGGAAGGTGGCTCAGTGGTAGAACGCTTATCTTGCATGCATGAGGCCCTGGGTTTGATTCCTCAGCACCACATAAGCAGAAAAAAAAAAAAAAAAGAGCCGGAAGTGGCACTGTGGCTCAAGTGGTAGAGTGCTAGCCTTGAGCTGAAGAGCTGAGGGACAGTGCCCAGGCCCAGAGTTTAGGCCCCAGGACTGGACCAAAAACAAAAACAAAACAAAACAAAAAACAATAATAAGTCATGGACACATTCAGTCTATAAACCACCAGTTCTTTCTTCCTTCCTGCTACAGGAGAGTGAACATGATTAACAAGGCTTCTGAAGTCTGAGCTTCACTTGCTTCTCACCTTCAACTATTATTTTTTCTTCCTCCTTTTCCTTTCTCCTTCCTCTCCTCCTCCTGCCTCCGCCTCCCCAATTCCTCTCTTCTCTCTTCTTTTTCCTTATCCCCCACCTCGTTTTGTTATTACTGAGGGTTTGAACTCAGGGTCCCACTTTCACTAGGCCGGTGTTCTACCACTTGGGCCATGCCTTCAACTCTACTTTTTGTTTCTTGCTTTGGAGATGGAGTCTAGTAATCTTTTCTGCCTGGCCTGACTTCAAACTGCAATTTTCCAGATCTCACCTTTCTGAGTAGCGAGGATTGCAGGTGTAAGTTACTAACACCCCGCAACTTCAATTTTTATACTCCAGACTCACCAAAGCTGTCTCTCAGTGTAACAAAACTGTTGCTTCCTCCACAAGGAATACTGCTACAGGGCCTTTACAAAGTTATTCTCTACCTGAAATCCCCACCTCCATACTGGTTTGTTCTTCCCCTTCATGGAAATTGTTGCCATTTATAGTGATGGTTCAAATGCTACTTTGTTACTGGCAGTGTCCCTATATCAGTCCCCAGGGTACAGTGACCATATATGTCCTGCTCACCTCCATGTACTGGAGGTAGTACACTTTGGTGTACCCAAAACAAGTCCTGTTATAGGTTTTCAGTGACAACTTTTAATTGAATGGCATTTTACTTCTTTAACTCATCCCTTATAATGCTTTTTATAAATGCCTTTTATAAATGTCTTCACATTCCTACCAGAGGTAAATTTTATTGTCCTCATCATTTCCAAAATTAGAAGAGGAAGAGATGAGCTACAGTAGTTAAATAAGAAATGGGAATATAGGACTGGAAGGAACTTGGCTGCTGATATACAGCATGGAGACCTTCAGAGGACCTTCTCATTTGCCCAAAGACATGCAATATGTTTTGATGGATTCATGGTGAAATAAATATATTTCAACCCATGAAAAGCTTGAAGTATGAGAGAAAAAAATAAGAATGCATAAACAGCTAAAATGAAGAAAAAATACAAAGTGAGATATAACTGAAGAGAGAAGCAGAGGATCCACATGAGAGCAATATTTCTCCATCTCCTCCATAGTCCATCAAACAGTCACAACTCCATCTTGGTTCCCCAGGAACCATCCCAACAATGTATTCCCTTATGCAAAGAGGTACCTTACTGTGATGCACCTTGACCTAAGCATACTTAGGCTACTTACAAGATAAGTAGCTATCTAGTACATGGTCATCTTTACATATTCATTATTTCCATATCTGTGTTTTTTGTTCTTCAAAGATAAGAAATACATACAAAAATTCAATATATTAAAGTGTATACATCGTGTTCCAATGCATAAAGCAAAGTATTCCATTCAGACAGTTAGTAAGTGCTTCTTGATCTATGAAATAAAAAGCATCCCCAGGGGGTGGGAGCACAGAGACAGTGATAGATGGGGATGAATATGATCAAAGCACACAGTATGTATGTTTGAAAATATCACATAAACCCCATTATTCTATGCAATTATGCACCATTTTTAAAAAAGCCTAGTTTGCATAGGACAAGTATTGTCAGATCCACCTGACAGTAACCAATAGACATGATGATCAGATGTACATTAGGTAAGATGTCCAACATGGTGGCACAGGTGCTCTTCTAGCTCCTTCCTTTGTGTTGCTTGGCCACTGGAAGGTGACTGCTGAAGCTTCAGAAAATAACACAGCTAATTACTTAAGGAGTTCCTTACAGAATGATGGTTCTTTGCCACATGTGCTTTTCCAACAAAACCCATAATTAAAGGTGTTTTGGTAGAGAAAGATGAGAATCAGAATTTTTTTGTCCATTATTATGTGTAAATAGCCAACTAATTTGTCATGAATGGATCTTGAGAATGTATCATAGACTTTATCAAAGTGAAGACTACTTGTTTTGATGCTAAATTATCAGGTTGACCATAAAGTGGCTTTGGAATACTAAATTCAGATATCCAAGCTCCTAATTTTCCTTAATTAATCTGCACATACCCTGAGGGAGATGGCTACTGAAATGCAGCTCTGATTACTCTGTCACTAAGTGGCTGAGTAGGTCGAAAGTTGTCTCCCAAAATTCCATCACAGCCTTCCACAAGTTCTGCCCCCTTAACATGCGTCCTCAGCCTGCGAAATTCTTCTATCTGAAATTAAAAGCACAACAAAATAGATAACTCATTTATAAGACATTAACAGGATTCAAGTTTCATAAGTAACTCAAATGCATGAATTATAATACAAAAGAGAAAATTAAAATTAAACATCAGAGAAAAAGACAATTCTTCCTGACTTAAGTGAGATATCTTACAAGGCTATCCTTAGAATTAGAAAGGTTGAGGTATGGCTCAAGTGGTAGAACAGCTGCCTAGCAAATGCAAGGCCCTGAGTTCAAACATTAGTACTACCAAAACAATTAGGGATCAAAGTATCTAGATAACTCCAATAGCCATAGACACATGCTGGATTTGTGTAACATGAAAATGATACACACCTCTGACAAAAAGCTTTGTGCCTGTCTATACCTCTAAAAGAAAGGATGAAGAACAAATGACTTCTTAAATGCTTCCCAAATGCATATTCTGGTGTTATCATATATTAGTTCTGATTACAAGTTAGATTTGACAGGTAAATTCAACAGGAGATTTCTTGCTGCTCCTCTCCTAGCAACAGCAACTCTCAAGTTCATTTCCCTTTATCTGGCAGCTGGTCTACACTATTACATGTGAAAAGAGTCCCAAACTCATGAGGTCCCTTCCCATCAGCTGCAAGACAGTTTCTCTCATTTGCCCAATCTAAGCCTTCTAAGAAGACTCAGAGCCTGGCAGGTATGACCCTCTTAGAAGTGTTTAAGCAAAAAGCAAAGATGTGATAAACACTTTCCAACCTCATTCCTGGTTATTAGTTGCTTTATGCATCATCTGTTATTTCATTAAAGTGCTGTATAGTCACAAAACAGCCAGTCTTCACTTTTTGCAGAGAGAGGAAAGTGAGGCTAGAGGTTAAGAAAATCTCAAAATAGGCAGTGCCAGAAATCTAACAATACTATGTTTATTTCTAAATAGGTAGTACCTGTTTAGAAAGTCGAATCAAACCAATGTATACAATATCCTGCAAATATCCCAGAGTATTGAGCAACGTGATTTATAGAGCATAAATGCACCAAACACTATTCAAGAAGGGAAAAAATATATAAGGGCTATAAATGTGGCTCCGTTGTAAAATATTTGTCTAGCATGTGCAAGGCCCAGGGTTTGATCCCCAGCAACATTCATACATATACACATGTACATCTACAAAGGCCCTAAATAAAACACAACTGAAAAGAAGAAATGAAACAGATCAACTGTATCCAAACTCAAAAGGGTCTATGAAATCCCTAAATGATAAGCAAAATGTCACATGTACATTTTGTTAAGGCAAACATCCCTGACTCCTAAACCATTGAATCCCTCAAGATTCTAACTCAAGCCTCTCCCATAAATGCTAGGGCACAAAGTTGGGGGAAAAATCAAATTGTCTCTTAAGTTAAAAGCCTGGTTACAAAGATTTTAACGCTTTATTAAGGTTTCTGGTGTTTTATTTTCCATGTTTCCAAATACTAATTGATTTCCTCAAGTGAATCTTTAAGGATTCATAAGAGTAATATAAGAAGAACAGTCATGAAAATAACTCAGCCTAGTTCCAAAGATACAGTAAGTATTTAGTGATAGCTCTCTTATGTAAACCTTTAGCACTTTGAGATAAATATTTGACTACAATTGATAGCAAACCAATTCACTGAGAAAATTCAGTCTTCTGTCTTACCATTCTCTGCATGCATAGCTATCCATGTAGAAATGACAGAATTCATAAACCATGGATGGGATAGGTGGTGAACAAAGTAGACCAGAAAATTAACTGCTCAGATACATCTTAAAAACCAGTCCATTTTTTATTGACTTTGAAGTTGATCTTAATTTTATATTCACATATCCTGAACTGAAGAAACATTCTTCAAGCCCCGAGGCCTCAGCCTTAAGTTCATTCTATGAAAAACAACTTCCTTGCAAGAAATGAGTCATATCAACAGCCAGCCTCAAATCACTGCTATCTTACAGAAAACTATTTCACAGAAATATTTCCCTCTGATCACAGTAGTACTTTGAAGATTTCAAACATCCAAGGAGATTGGGGGAGGGGGCAGAGCATCTTTCTAAAATGCCAATTTTTCTGATATAACCACCCCTCACAGAAGCCTTTAGTCACTTCAAATGGTTTCAAGTGCATACTGAATCAGCCCATGGTGAAATAGAGACTGATGCATAAAAAGAATGTTTCAGGATAAAAGCCTTCAACAAACTCAAATGCCAAAGAGTTACAGAGACCGTCATTATTACATGTGTCTGAATGTGCAATTGCATAGATTTTTTTAAGACTACTGTGGTTAAATATAGCATTTCCTTTTAACCAACTTAAGACAAATATTTATCTGCATCTACATAGATTAAAAAGTCACAGGAGACAAAGAGGCAGGGGAGAAGGAAAAAGAGGAGCAGAGACAAAGACATAGAGATTCACTGGTAACAATTACTAGCTGATCTGAGCATCAAATTAATTTTTCTTCTTGAAATTAGAATGCAATTCCCATTCCTGCCTCCTCTTCAAGCAGGTGTGGTCATGCAACCCGTTCTAGTCAGTAGACAGGACAGATAAGTACAGCCTGTCATTTCTATTCTTGAGAAAACTCTCTTGATGTCTATATTCATCTTCCTGCTGGCCACATGCTCCTCCAAGGGCCACCTGGGAAAAAATGTGTGAAAGGTAGAAGACTGTACAGAGACAAACCATCACTATGAATCAGAAACACATGCTAGATTTTATGCCAGTATGAAGTAAGTTATCCACTATAAAGCACCAACATTTTGAGGTTTCCCTGTTACAACAGCTGGCATCTTTGATAGTAAATCTCAAATCTATTCATCTTTAGTACAAGGCTCTAGTCTTGAAATTTCTAACTTCTTCACTATTTTTCACCAGACTAACTTTTAATAATTTTCAGGAACTATTTTCTAAGCTTTGCAGCCTCAGTTAAACTCCTTCCTTATGGGTTTTCAGTTTGTTGGGTTTCTTTTTTCCTTTTTCTTCATATGTGTGTGTGTGTGTGTGTGTGTGTGTGTGTGTGTGTTACTGGTTCTGTGTCTTGAACTCAGGACCTGGCCGCCATCCTGGAGCCTTTTTCATAGCACCACTTCTGGCTTTTTCGGAGTAGTTTATTGGAGATAAGAGTCTCATGGACTTCCTGCCTGGGCTGGCTTTGAACCACGATCTTCAGATCTCAGCCTCCTGAGTAGCTAGGATTACAGGCATGAGCTACTGGTGCTCAGTGCCTTTCTTGTATGTTTCTGACACAGATTTTTAGCAAAATTATAATTGTTAATGTAGTTATCTTAGTGTTCAACTCTATGGTTAAGTTTCTGCAAGTAAAGATTGCTTATCTCTGTGCCCTGTGTCTAGTTGGCACTCAGGAATAGTTTCGTAGAAGAATAAATAGATGAAGGAATTAGGAAATGCCACATAGAAAAAATCAAGGCCCAAAGGAAATGTATTTAAAAAAAAAACCTAAAATAATAACAATATGTATGGGGAAGGGGAAAGCAATAGAGGAAGGCATTCTGATTAAAATATAACTATGCATGTGCAAGATAAGAACATGAAACCTATTGTTACAATTAGTACATGTCAAGAAAAAAATGAATGATGGGAAAGTAAAACAAGTTCTCTTGGAGGCCAGTTTGTGCCAGCCAGAGGCCAGAGAGAAAATAAAGGGAATGAGAATGAATATGACTGACATATTTTGCATGTATATCTGAAAAATACAGTGTTGAAACTGTTCTACAAGGGGAATGGGAGGATGAAGGGAGGATGAAGGAGGGTAATGGAGGGTGAAAGAGATCAGGTTTCATTGCATGCTTGTGTGGAAGTAAAGCCTCCTTGTGTAGCAATTACATACTAGCAAAAAGAGATTTTGAAAAGTATTGAAAGAAAAAATGAAAGGCAGAGAGAGGAGAGGCTGAATAGGGAACTGTTAAAATTATTCCCTAAAAAGGCAGAAATAAGGAGAAAATGTTAAAGAGAGCTTTCTTAAATATTAAAAAAGGGAGGATTTTAAAGATTTAAGGCCAAACAAAAGAAGACTTGAATGAGAAGTTAGTAAACGTAAGCTTCTTAACTTACAGAAATGATGGAAGATCTTTTCTTTAAAAAAAAAAAAAAGCAACCTTTAAGACTTTATTAAAGAAAACCTCAGAAACTTTGTTCTGAGTATTAAAGTCTTTGAGGTTGATCATGAAAGGGAAATACAACCTTCTAGAAGTATCCCTTAGGCAGATCTCTGCTGGACAGGAAATATTTAAAGCACCTTTTTTATAATAATACAACGATCATTGTTCATTCATTTGTTCCTGCGTGTATGGATCCCAAAAATTTACAAATACTAGGCAAATGCTCTACCACTGAGTTAAACACTCAGATCCTTCCAAATTGTTGTTTATACCTTATAATGATGTTACCACATGTTCCTTTTTAAAAAATTTATTGTAAAGGTGATGTACAGAGGGTTAAAGTCAGGTAATGAGTTCATTTCCTTTTGAACAGTGTCACCTTTTCGCTCCTTCCCAGTTTTTCCCCTCCCACCTGACTCCCTCCACATACACACACAAGTTGTAAAGTTCATTTCCAACATAGTATCTAGTGAGTTTCACTGTTGAATTGGTTCACCCTTTGTCCCACTGGTTCTGTGCTTCCCCTTTCCCAAGTCAAATAAACTTATATACAAGACAAAGGGTACAGAAATCAAAAACAGTGACAAAAGGGAATACACCAAAGGAAAAAAACAAAAAACAAAAAAATGCAAACAGTACAATAAAAAAAAAGCCTCTTGTTTCCATTTCTTGGAGTTCATTTTGATAAGCGTCATTTTATACGGTCATATGCATGTAGCTATTGAGCTCTTGTGATCCTCTCCTAAAAATATCCTCCTTTGTTCTCACTGTGTGAATGTTTAGACTGCTGTTTAATTAATCGTGACAAGTGTAATTATTTGCCTTACTATCTATTGGGTTTCTTGTAGCTATCACATGTTCTATCAACTGACTCCCCAAGTACTCCAATCTTTTTTTTTTTTTTTTTAATGTTAGGCTGGTCTGGAACTCCTGACCTTTCACCTTACCTAATAGCTAAGATTACTGGTATGTTCCACCCCAGTTAGCTTACATTAGTATTTAAAGCACCAATAGCACCTCAGCAGAACTTAAGGCTACAGGAAAGTGACCAAAAGTAAAGCCAATGAACAATTTAAAAGTTTTCACTCCAGCTCCACTGTCTCTCCATATACAGAAATCTCTGTGCATGCCAAGGAAGCTCTAGCAAATAGCCTGCATGTGACCCATAGAGATAATGAGCACCCACACCTTATTTTCAGGCCTTTTTCTTCCATTTGGGAAAACCACATACAGGAATGATTGAACTAATCAAAAGTTTGGATCTTTCTATTATTCTATTTATTCTAACATAAAATCCAGGTCATAAATGAATGCTAGGTTTTGTTCATCCTTGACCTTTCCTTTGCTTTCACTAGCTCAAGACATTTAACTTTCATCTGAAAAGGTGCAACTGGTCTAAAGGGAGCTTAAACATGAAACAGACATTTTCTTTTTACAGAAGTAATGTTTAACCTTTAACTCAAAATTTCACTCTCAAAGATTTAAAAGAGCATACTCACCTGTAGCTGGGATATAGTTAAAGGGTATCGGAATAATATCCAGGTAACACCTTCGCTGCAAGGTGGGATCGTAAGAGAGCCTTCATAGACCCAGTAATCCCGCAGCAGAGGGTCTAGGCACAGACATGGACATGTCATGAAAATGCAGGTTAATAATCTTGAAGATTCCAACAACTCCCCAAGCTACAAGCTGACCTAATAATACTTCATAGAGAGATATCATTTTTAAGGTAGAAGTTCACAAATGTATTTTTAAATTAATCACTGTTGGAGTAAATAATGGAAGACAACATGATAAATAATCCATTTATTTACAGTGATTTATATCAATGGATTACTATATGTATCTGTCAAATTTTATTTAGAAAATCTATTAATGTTTTAGGTTTTTTTAATACTGGATGATCTACCTCACTGATTCATGCCTCATATTTATTAAACATTGTGCTAACTGCTGTCCTGAGTATTATACATCAATTCACTTAACCTTCATAAAAAAACAAAGAGATTGATGCTCTTACTAGCCCCACTGTTCAGATGGGAAAAGTAAATCACAAGTTAGTAAGTTTCCCAAGGTCACACAGCTTGGTGTAACTGGCAGAAGCAGGACTGAAATCTTTTAGGGTGGCTTCAAAGCTATATTTTTAACCATGAGTTTCTAGCCCACTTTCCACTGCTTCTTCAACAGTAAAATATTAAAGTCATAATATAATAGGAAAAGCAAATCACTCTTATCAAATCATCTAGTTATACATCACAAGATTTCATGACTGAACATGAGTATTTGCTTAACACATAACAAATTGGTTTGTTGTAGAGCAATTAAATATAGAAAGCAAAGGATATATACAGTGAATTGACCTATTTCATGTTGTTTGAAACACTACAAAACAACACATTTTAGGCAGAAAAAGTCAAGATAAAAATTCTATACAAAGCCTCCTAGAACTCCAAGTTATAGTCTAAGTATCTTATGCACAATTATTATAGGAACAAAATTACAATTAGAAAACTATGTAAATAACAGTATTACTAAATGATGTAGTCTTGTAAAATTATATACAAAATTTATTTCACTCTAACATGGATGAATAAGAAGTTCACTGATCGATATTATACTGAAACTTTTCACAGAGGTAGCAATGTTAATCCCAAGAAATTTTTCATGGATTAATGGAGCCAGTGACAAAGAGTTTCTTTATTATTCCAAAAATTTTAGACCTATATTTATGGTCATCTGAAACTGGTACCTTCTACAGAGAAGATGAATTGTAAAGAAACTTTATTCACTAATAGCACACATTTAAAATTCAGTATTCACAGATAAAATTCATTTTATGCCATAAATGACATGCTTACCTGGTAATAAAGTGTTAGGATTAAAGCAAGGAATTGTTTTGGACTTTCCCTGAAAAATTAAAAACAAATATTCACTCCATGTTAAGGTAAAATCCCTAATTTTTTAATAAAATTTATTAGGACTGAATCCATTTTCTCCATGATCTCATCAGGTTGCCTAGATTGGAGGTGTGTCGCTCTCTTCTCATTGTAGCAAAATTGATGAGTTCCAAAAGAGTCACTCCTACTTGAATCTGTGATTATTTACTACTGCATAATTCTTGACATGGAGTTCACCATTAATGTCCAGTTGTCATATATAAACTACCTTTTTATGCTTCTAACACATTCATACCCAACATAGGCTGAATATATCTTGGAGTAAAACACTTGAACTGGCTTGAGATATTCTTTGAAATTATTTCTTCTTGTGTAGAGCTCAGCTCCTAAGTGGCACTGCAATCTGGCTGGACAAAAATCTGTGCCATTTGGGTTTGGAAATTCAGTGCTAGGATCTATTTAGGGAGCTTTCTCATTCAGAAAAGGAGATCTGAAATTCATCAATTTTTTTTCCAAAGAGGGACTTAAATTTCAAAGGAATGATCAGTGCCACATTCAATAATTTACACTTAGGGGTTTTATTTTAAATTGTATCATTTAAATTGTCTTTGAAGTCAGGCAAGCAATGGGCTCAAGTCTATAAACCTAGCTACTAGGGAGGCAGAGATCAGGGGAGTGGGGTAAATACCAGGCCAGACAGTAAACTTGGTAGAACTCCATCTCATTCAATGGCTGGGCATAATGACACAAATAGGAAAACCACAGCCCGTGACAGTTCAGTTATCACTTGAGACCCTACCTCAAAAACAACCAATGCAAAAAGGGGATAGGGGAATGGCTCAAGTGGCAGAGTGCCTAACAAGCGTAAGGTTAAGGTTTTTTTTTAAAGAAGGTTCTTGTGGCACATAGACCTATTAAAACAGGTTGAACGTCTGCTATAGGATTACTCTGTGAACACAAATAAAACAGGGGAAGTTATCACAAGTTCCTTCCTTTCTTTCTGGAACTATTTTATACAGGATTAACTCTAGTCCACCTCCCTGACCCCGTCTCTGATGTTGATTAATGTCTTATCAGCTGAAAAATGAGGGAGATTTTCTAGCTCATTTCTGCGGAACAAATATGGGCTGGAAATACATGTTCTCCTCCTTTATACCTTGCTTTTCTTGTCTAGGCTGGACTTCCAGGGGCTAGAGACTGAGTTCCTAAGGGCAGTTAGATAGGCAGGCACACAGTCTTACATGACCAACCCCTTATCAAATTTGTAGCCATCTTGATTCAGGTGAGCTTCCCAGGTTGTTAGCACCTTACATGTGTAGTGACACATCATTACATCATTGCTGAGGTAATCAGCAGCATGCCCACAAGATCTTATATGGAAGAGACACCAGAAGCTTGTTCTGGTGCCTTTTCCCTTTGCTGATTTTTTAAATCTATTACTTTACACTGGACTTAATCATAACTATTAAATATAATACCTTTTCTGGTTCTTTAGGGTAGGACCATGAATGAAGCTAATCTTGATATGGGAGAGCTCTGTGTGAAGGCACTGGGATCTCTTACATATCCGTATTTCTGTTTCCTTTTAAATAATGATTTACCTTATATTGAATATCCTGGAGTATTTCAGTCACGGCTTTCAGACCAACATGTTCCTTCCCTATCTGAAACATATAAAGTATAAACCACAAACACAACAGTTTTAGCATTCAGCTTTTAATTAAAGTAACTAGCAGAAGCTAGGGTCAAATCCTCCTACTTAGGGAATTAAAATGACCTTTCTATTTATAGCCAGGCCACTATCTACTAAATGTAACTAAATTTGTAGCAGCTCGTAGAATAAAGAATTGGCTATGATATCCAAGAATCCATTTTAAATTCATCTTCCTACCTATACGTATCAGTCAGAGTGTCACATATATCAATTCATAAAAGGCTGCTATATAAAACTGTCAGGAAGAGTTCTGAATTAATATGACTCAGTACATGCCCAAAACCCTTGCCTTTTTACCTTTGGCATTTATAGATCACTAATATAAATATTTTATCAAAGTTGAAAATTTTTATTAACTCATAAAAGTGGGTATATGGTTTCTTCTGTTAAAGTTATCAAAATGAGAACTCATTTCTCAATTATCACTAGTTATAAATCATCATCACTAGTCAAAATTCTACAGCTACCTCTTTATTCTTGAATAAGGATATTTTTCATAGCCCTCTTTTTATGTTTCACATATTTTAACATACAAAAATGCTCCCAAAAAATTGAGACTTGAAAAATATAAGCTGAGTCCTACTTTTTAACAGCTGGTGAGGTCCGTGACAAGGAAGAAGGTAACAGCAGAGGTCACTTAATCCCTCACAGAAACAATCTCTTATACTTAGCTTTTGCTCCTCCACCCACATTTTTGCAGGACAGCCTGCAAGAACAAAGCATAGCTGTCAACCTGCAAACAGTCTCTGTTTCTCTCAACATCAACAAACTGTGAGATGCACAGGATAAAGAAAAGAGACAAACAACACTTAATATAAGGCAGACCAATCAGTTCATTGTAACCAAGGTATATGCTACTTTCTAAGCAAAATTTTGAACTTTTTAAAGTTTACTTTTTTAAAAAACACCTAATGCAAATATATGCATAAGTGAAGAAATCACAATCTCAAGCAGAAGCCTTATGCTCAGGAGAAAGGAACCATCATTGACTTAGTGGTTTAACCAGGAGACAAAACTTGGACACCTGTGCCTCTAGCTGTGGTCTACCTCTACCTCATATATCTCCTGATGGATTTTAAACCCTAAAAAGAGTCCACATCTGCACATTGTTAGGCCATATAATGCACTGGTCTAGGAGTGAGCAGCTTTTCTTAACTGCCTGAGTTCTAATCTTGGTACCTCCACTTTTTAGTTGTGTGACTTTGGGCAGGTTTACTTTAACCTCTATATTCTTCCTCAGCAACACAGTGGAGAAGATAATAGTCACATGGTTGAAGGTTAAAATTAAATTAAATTATTTAGAACACAGACAAGTATGGGGGTAGGAACCCAATTTTTTTCTACCAAGAATCATATGGATATTGATAACATCATTCTTAGGCCATATAAAATTATCAATGCAGACTGATAGTTTCAGAAAGCCAATAAGAAGCATACGTGTCTGCCCCACTGTGTACCCAGAAGTTCCCCACCCCAGTCTGTCACGTCATAATTCAATTCATGTCATCCTTGCATTTGTAACCTGAATTCAGCATCAAATACAGATTCTTACATACAGAGCACTTAATCATTGTAATTTGTTCCTTCTCTCCATAAAGATTTTTATCTATAAAACTTTACCCACGAAAACTACAAAAAATTGCATCAATTACTTTGTGAGTTTCCTTCTTTTGCCAAAAAGTTTACATGAAGAGATTATGACCACCAAAAACCAAGTGTAGCCAACCATCTTCACACTACAATCCTACAGCCATTCATCTTCAATGTTGCCAAGGAGACTGGGACCATGAGACCAATAACTCCCTTTCCTCTCACTCTTCCATCCTTTACCACCCTAAAGAACTCTGGGCATTTCTCTTCTCCTAGAGCCTAACTTTGTTCCACCTGTTTTCACTTCTAACTCTGTTTCATCTTTTGTCCATTGTACTCCTTGTATACAGGATGGCTCTGTTCTTGACATGGCCTCCCACTATCTCCTGTCTAGGTCTCTCCAGACTGCAGCTCTCTCAGGCCTTCCTTGTGGACACTGGGCAGTCTCCCAGGGAGAGGGAAGAAAGCTGTCAGTCTTCCCATATCACCTTTAATTTAGTATCTCTCACTCACAAGCACAGACAATTTTCCTTAGTTGACTGTCTACTTCTGATGCCATCATGTCTTCACTGTCATTTATGGACCCACTGGGCACTCCTCCTAGGCACCTCCTCCTCTGTCCTCCTGAGAGCCTTGCGAGAAACCTGACCCCTCCATCCTTCACCTTCAGCACACCTACTGAGACCATACCCTGCATTCACTTTCATCTGAAGTCCAAACAACCATTCTCTCTGACCATTCTTACATCGCTCAGCTTTCTCCTCCTCTGTTCCTCTCTTTCCTTTTACTAATCATTAAGAACCAAGGCTTTCTTGCTCCTCTTGACTTCATCTCCTGCCCTCTCTCTGCTGGGCTGAATGCCATCTCTTCCCCCACCAGCAAGTCTCTATCCCTACATCTTCTCTGGCCATCTGTGATACAATAGATCAGCACAATTTGCTAGAATGCCTTGCTCTCCTTTGCCTGGACAGAAAACTGTCATATGCTAACTTGAACAATCATGAGGACCAGACACAAGTGTCTGTTTACTCTCCCCCTTACTGTTTATTCTCCTCCCCTCTAAGCTACTCCAAAGCCCAACCACACACCCTTGATCCCTCATTCCATAAATAATGTTGCTTTGTCTGTCTCAGATATACCAGAGGCCATAAGTCATGAACTACCCTAATATTTTTGCCTTTCTTTGCCTCTAAATTGGCCCTTTTCCTCTTGGCCCTCTATTTCAGAGAAAGGATGGCTTGCCACCAGTCCAACTCATTCCATCTATGTGCATTCTCCAGCTCATGCACTCATTTCTCCTCTAAGACTTTTCTGTATATGCTATCCTTTCTCTTTTTCAATATTTTTAAACTCAACGACTGTACTAACTCTTGTTGCTTAGAACAGAATTACAAGATCTTTAATTTCATAAATACCACTAGCAATTGCCTCTTTTGTCCTTATCTCCAGTCAAGCTTCTTAGAAGTCAAGTCCATACTCATTGGCCACAATGTCCTCTCCACTGCTCTAAGCTGAGAGCCAGCCCCCAGGAGGGAAGGGTGATGTCCCTCTACCTCTGCCTTCTGTGTTTCTGGGATGAGAGGTGAACCACTGCACCCAAGTAAAATTATGTCTTTAATGAATGAGATTACCAAGTTATTAGTTAAATCATTTTGATTGATACTTTGTAACATTGTTCTGCTTTATATATGTGTGTGTTGTGTGTGTATGTATATAAAATAGAAAGAATATAAAGCTCATGAAAAAGTTACATAATAAATAGTGAGAATTCATTTTAAAAATAACGATATGCTTTTAAATGCTATAACACTTGTTATACTTTCAACACTCTGATCTTAACTTTTTTGGGGGGAGGTCCAGTCGTGAGGCCTGAACTCTAGGCCTGAGCGCTGTCCCTCAGCTCTTCAGCTCAAGGCTAGAGCTCTACCACTTGAGCCACAGCACCACTTCCGGCTTTTTTCTTTTTGCTTATGTGGTGCTGAGGAATCGAACCCAGGGCCTCAGACATGCAAGAGAAGCGCTCTACTACAGAGCCAACTTTCCAGCCCCCTCTGATCTTATCTTGTGTCATGTTTCCTATAAGAAACTTCAAATCATCTTCAAATGAAAATTATTAATAACAAAGAGCTAACGTAATCCACTACATGATTATATTATTGATTTTTCTTAGGTTTTGCAGTAAGCTTGGGTTTAAAGATATTTCTGAAATTCTTCTTCATAAATGAAATGAACTCTACCTTCAGGAGATGCTTTCAAAATCATTTCTCCCAAGACTCTGGATGCTACACTGAGGAAAATAATAAGTAAACTACTTTCTAGTAAGGAATTTGGCTGAACTCTCATGAACTGAAAAGATGGAGTTTTATATTTTTACATTATCAGTGTTCTCTGTATCTGTGTTTGAATTTTACCTCTGAGTAGTAAAGTTGAAAGAATAGAAAGTATTTTACAAATGACTTGGAAATCAGCATCTCCTAATCAGTACAACTGTAACAATGGTTTACCTGAACGAACAGGGCAATGATGGCTATGCCATGCGGCTTCCCCACAGCCTCATCAATGCTGCCAAACAGAGTGGAGTTCCAGTGGATCAGGTGCAGCTGGTGGGTGACAAACACACATCATATCACTAGTGCCCTTCCTTGTATGCACAAATAAAGTGTATCTTCATCTTCACTGTATCTCTATGGTATCTGTGCAACAAGGAAACCACAGGTAGACTGTTGCCTGAATAGGAGTTCTCTGCAGGAATTCTTCCTTCTTACTTCTTCCTTGAATTCAGTTCAGGAGAAGCACATCAAGGAAAATTTCAAAGATTTCCTATTGATTCAATTATCTTTCCTTAAATGCCATTCCCTCTGGATCTCAATGGAATGAAACTCCAGATCTGGGCACAAACACCATAATTCATTCAAAGGAGAGTATAAGGTAGAGTGAGGCATGGGGGAGGGAGCTCAGAAGCTCAGAAGCTGTTTGTGTAGTACATATGAGAAGCCCCAGGTTTCATCTCAGCATGATAGATAGACAGACATACAGATGGACGGAAGGACGGACGGACGGACGGACGGACAGAGATAGATAGATAGATAGATAGATAGATAGATAGATAGATAGATAGATAGATAGATAGATAGATAGATAGATAGGTGGGGGGCAAAAGAAGAAATAAAGAAATGGGATTTCTATTTGCAATCCACCCAGAGTTTCCACCAGAAACTATAGGAAGCCAGTCTCAAATACTGGCAAATTATTTCAACTTAGAATAACCAAAGAGAGCACACTATTTAAAGAAATGCTATTTTTTAAGCCATGGTAAAATAACAAAGGCTGTTGTAAACCTAAATAGAACTAGATAGAGCTAGATAGAAATTTTTTTCTGTGAAAAAATGCCAATGAGGGCAGAGAAGCCTACTTCATATATCTGTGGAGCTTCCAAGTGTCTCTAGAGCATTCCCTTGCTCCTACAGTACTGAAAACACCTGCAAGAGACCAGCTGAGCTCCCTCATTAAAAATCAAATTGCGACTGAGCTTCTTAGTATAGCAGCCACTAGGTAAAATCTTCTGCCAGAAATACTATCTTCATTATAGCTTTTAATCAACTGTGTCATTTACCACCTTAAGACATTTCCCTATTTGAAAATTAGCTTTCAATACAAAAACACACAACTAAAATTCACTATTTTAGCAACTATACTAAAATAGTTTTTCAGTCTCATGAAGATGGTCAGTTTTCTAATTTTTCCACTGCTGAATTTGTCCATGTGCAATATAAGACTATAAAACTGGCCACTAGAGGGAGGTAATAAAATCAGTAATAGAAACAAGTAACAGACTAATACAGTGAAGATGGGACTGTGAAAAACACAGGTGAAAGAAATCCTTAATCCTGTTTGTCACCCATTATCCACCAGTTTGTGAACTAGAAAAAAGTTACTCCCAACAGGTGGTAAACTACCACATAGGGTCCTTGGTTAACAAAGATGAAAGCAAACAGAATTCAGGTGAAGATGAACAGGTACCTGATTTTGTCACTTTCCTTTATCAAATAACCAGAGGAGTTGTTACAAGAAGCTATGGACTCAATGTGGCTAAACTAGCAGATGATCCTGAAGAATTTTAAAGACAGAAGCCCACAAGTAAAAAAGAGCTGGAAGAATTAGTAAATATGAAAAGGAAAAAATTAAAGTATTTTGCAAAATTATGGATGACACATAATGTAAAATATCTACAAAAGTGAACAGACAGTTTCAAATGGAAGAAAGACAAACTTCTTTACCTAAGGTGAAAACTACGTTTTTTAACCAATTTTAAAAAGGAGAATTAAAAATACCAACTGTACAAAGTAACTCTCCACTAACAGCCCATCTTTGTGTGACATGTAAGCATAAAATTATGACCATGAGCCAGGTACCAGTGGTTTATGCCTGTAATCCTTGTTACTCAGGAGGCTGAGATCTGAGGATTGTGGTTCAAAGCCAGTGTGGGCAGGATAGGCCATGAGACTCTTATCTGCAATAAACCACTAGAAAACTGGAAGTGGTGCTGTGATTCAAGTGGTAGAGCAGTAGCCTTGAGCTGAAGAGCTGAGGGACAGTGCCCAGGCCCAGAGTTCAAGCCCCATGACCAACGAAAAAGAAAATTATGACCATAGTATATTCCTTTTAGAAACAGATATTTTTTACTCTTGAAAAGTTTGATTCCTATACTACCATTTCAAAGGATAAACATATAAATACTTTTGGATCTGAAGACTTCCATTATATAATTTAAAAATTTCCTGGATAGTAAGTCTCATATAAAATCTAAACCTTTTAAACAAAACCTAAAATGAAAGAATATAATAAATATATTTGGAGGATACTATACATTTTTAACAGATATTTATATTTGTTTCAGTCCAGACAATTGGCAACAGTATAAATCTGGTAGGATTCTACCTTTCACTTTGAATTAAATTAATTTTATAGTATCACCAATTTATTCACCATGAATATAAGAATATTCCATAAGAAATAAAGTTATTGACCTTTTAGAAACTAAAGCACAGGAGAGGAATAAGATGATGTGAAATTTGAAGAATTAAACTCACATTTTTTTTTGGGGGGGGGGTGCGATCATGGGGCTTGAACTCTGGGCCTGGGCACTGTCCCTAAGCGATTCAGCTCAAGGCAAGTGCTCTACCACTTGAGCTATAGCACCACTTCCCGTTTTCTGAGTAGTTTATTGGAGATAAGAGTCTCACAGACTTTCCTGCCCAGGTTGGCTTCGAACCACGATCCTCAGATCTCAGCTTCCTGAGTAGCTAGGATTACAGGCTTGAGCCAACAATGCCTGGCTAAACTCATATTTTAAATGTTGTTAGGGCAATGTCATTCTTTCTGGTGGAGGCATAGAATTCCATTGTGTATATATACCACATTTTCTTGATCCATTCATCTACTGAGGGGCATCTGGGTTAGGAAATGGAAAGACTTGGAAACAATTATATTAAGTGAAGTAAGCCAGGCCCAAAGAAACATAGGTCCCATGGTTTCCCTTATTTGCAATAACTAGTATATGTCTGAGACAAGCAGAAACGGTCAGATAAGTTGATGTTAGGCAAAATGAACTCCAAGATAAGGATTCAAATGTTTTTTCTTTCTTGCGATTGTTTCTAACGTATTTATAAGATAATTTATTTGTTGCTTTGTATGTCCCTCCCCCACAGCATAACCCCTGCTTTCATTGTATTTGATGTTGGTATAATTTGTGGAGGGGAAGGGAAAAAACAAATTGCTTAAATAGGGATACAGGTGGACCCATTGCAACAATGAAAAACGAACTTTACAACTTTGGCTCGGGGGGAAGGGGAAAGAGGGGAGCAGGGGAGGAGGGGGAGGGGGAGGGGGGAGGGAGACAGGAAGGGATTGGAAGGGGAAACAAAGGAGGCGGCAAACAATGTAATTGTAACCCCTCTGTGCAGTATTTTCACAATAAAAAAATGTTGTTGGATGAAATTATTTTGTCATTCAAATAATAAATATTTAATGAATACCTGCTTTAAAAAAAACCCACAAGCCAACTGTAACTTCCCAGTGAATGTTAATTGTCAAGGCACTGTCTTTTGAGAAACTCATGTTCTATAACACGTTTACAATTAATAGTAAAAGACTAGATAGTTTTAGTATTTCTTCTCTAGCTGTAACAATCACATAGAAGTCTAGGGGGACAGATAAGGACTGGTCTTAAGGAAGGTCTAGGCCAAGGTTCAATCTGACATTTTCTTAGACCTCAAAACATTCTTAGGAGCTATCTTTTTCATAAATAAAACAATAATAAACAAAGAACAGGTTGTGGGGGGATGGTGATTGCCTCCCTCAACAATGTCACTCACACCTGCTCTTCAAAGAACCCTTTTTGTGTGTTTTCAGAACTTGAGGATCCTGTGTGCTATGCATGATGACTTCAATGCAGACTATAGGGCAGAAAAGGGTGAAGAGTGAATTTATAGTAGAGGAATCAAAAGGTACATCAAGGTCAACGTCAGCTGCAATTCATCATGTTGAGAGTAGCTGTCCTCAAAACTAGATAATATAGAATTCTATTGCTGTCTTCTTCCACCTGATATTCCAGAACCACAATGTAATCATGGAAAGCACACCAGATTATTTTAGTGGGGACATACTACAAAATCCCTGATCAGGACTTTTCAAAACTATCAAACAATCAAGAATAAGGAAAGCCTAGGTAGGTACCCATGGTGCAGACTTGTAAACCTAGCTACTCGGGAGGCTGAGACTGAGATTGACAGTTTGAAGCCAGCCTGTACAGTGAAGTCTATGAGACTCCATCTTCAATTCACCAGCAAAATGCTGAGCTAGATATTTGGTTCAAATGGTATGGTATCAGCTATGACCAAGCCATGCCAATTGAGAGCACAAGGCCCTGACTTCAAGCTCCAGTACCAGTAAGACAAAAAAGAGGATCACAATCGCCCAATAGCTATGTACAGATGACCATCTAAAGTGATGCTAATCAACATGAACTCCACGATATGGAAATGAGGGCTTTGTTGTGGTGGTTTTGTTTTTCTTTTCTTTTTTTTAGTGTGCTGTTTTCAGTTATTGTTTTTGTCTTTCTTTCTCCTCTGGTTTATTCCCTGTGGTCACTGTTTCTGATTTTGGCACCCTTTGTCTTGTATAAGTTTATCTGATTTGGAACAGTGAAGGGGAATCACAGAAACAGTGGGACAAAGGATGAACCAATGCAACAATAATACTCACTAGACACTAAATTGTAAATGAACTTTACAACTTGGGGAGAGACAAGTCCGGGGGAGGAAAAGTGAGAGAAAATGAGGGAGGAGGTAACACTGTTAGAAAACAAGTACATCATTACCTTATTTATGTAACTGTAACCCTTCTGTACATCACCTTTACAGTAAGATGCAATTTAAAACAAGAAAGAGAAGAGGGAAGGAAGGAAGGGAGGAAGGAAGGAAGGAAGAGAGGGAGGGAGGGAGGGAGGGAGGGAGGGAGGAAGGAAGGGAGGAAGGAAGAGAGGAAGGAAGGAGGGAAGGAGGGAGGGAGGGAGGGAGGGAGGGAGGGAAGACTGGAGAAA